GAATTTCTTTTGATAATAACTAGTGGATACTAAAATGATCTACAAAACAGGACTTTAAACATTGAAGTAAAAATTCATAGGAGGAGCCGGGGAGATGGCTCAGTGGAATAAGTGCTTCTCTGGCAAGTGCAAGGGACTGAGTTCAATCCCTGGTTCCGAAAAAAGAAAAAAATGCATAGGATATAATGCTAATAATTTATATATCCCAAGAAGAAAATATGTAACTAATATATTACCAAATTTTTCTTTGCTTGTAGTTCAGAAAAGTGAAATTCAGCTTTTGCCCTGTCATCTGAATTTACAGGAATTCCATCTAACATCTGTAAATTAGGCAGTCGAAATATGAGCACATGACGATGTAGAATTTTTCTACAAATCTAAATAAAGTTAAAAGTAACACGTTATTCATGAAATCACTTTTAATTCAAAGATTAACCTTTAAATGAAAGCAGTTAAGTAAGGCAGCAAAGATGACAGGCTAGCAGCTGATTGATAGTAGTCGATGCTACTACATGAACTCACTTTTCAAAGATTTCTGGATTTCATTTGATGTCAAATAAAGAATAAGAACATTTTTTAAAAAACTACAACTATTATTTAGAGATTAAATCTTAAAAATTGTATAGTATTGTTCATTAGCTATAAGCAATATCAAGTCATAAATAGTATTGTTTTATGAAAGATCATTTATAAGCAGGAACTGTCCAACTTAACTCAGCGCATATTTACTGATCTGTATAATCCATCTCTTAAGAATGCCAACCTACTCAAAAAAATATTTGCAGGAAGAGGAAGAAGAAGAGGAAGAGGAAGAGGTAGAAGAAGAGGAGGAGGAGGAAAGAAGAGGAAAGCAAAAAAAAAAAAAAGTCATCAAAAGGGAATGAATAAACTATTCTAAAAGAATGTAGTAGAATACATATGCTAACGGAAAGTGATATCTAAAACAAAACAAAGCAAAAGACTGACCACAGTCTACACCACAAAACAAGTTTTATGAATGCCGAAGAATATACAGACTATATCTTCTGCAACATTAGAAATAAAGGGACAGATAACTAAAAACACCCCATTTATTTGAAATTAGTAATATAGATACATGCATATCCTTAAATAACTCACAAGTTAAAGAAGAAAAATTTTGGAGAGTGGAAGATATAAAGAAATAAAGACTAGTAGCTAGACTACACATCAAAATCTTTAGGATGCTGGTAAAGCAGTTCTTTCTAAATTAAAATTCATTGATTGATTCAGGAGGAATTAAGTAAAAATTAATGAGCCAGTTGTCCTATTTAAGAAGTTTTTGAAAACTAAATTTGAAGAGACTAAATAAAAAATTAATGCAATAGAAAACAAAAAATAATATATTTGCTAAAATCAAAACATGTTCTTTGAAGAAACTATCAGGATAGAAAAAAAGTTTTGTGGTTACTGCTTTTACACAGGGTTTTCATGGAATACTAAGCTAAGCAGATATTTTCACCTCTCCTGTTACATTATTATTATTATTTTTTTAACTTTTATTTATTTTTTAATGTATTTAGTACAGGATCTACAGGGTCTCCTACACAGATCGGACTCATAGTGATCCTCTTCTTTTCAGCCTCCCAAGAGCTGGGATTACAGGCATGTGCCACCATGCCCAGTCTCAGTCACCATCTCACCGCACCCTGGGTGTGGGGCCAGCACAGCAGGCCAGAGATTGAACCCTAGAGGCTGCACTCTGCCTAAGCAGGTGCTTTAGTCTGCTGAGCTATCTGGTCAGCCCTGTTATTTTTATTAATTTATTACAGTATTATGTGGATTAAAATGCTACTTATTGGATCCCCTCAAAGTCTCTAACAAAAAACTCTAGCAAATTTCTCCCTAAATTAATTTATAAAGTAAATTCAATTGCACTAAAAATCAATGTAATTCTCATGCATTTTGAGAAATTGTTTCCTACAAGTTATAGAAAAGTGTAAAGGGACATGAACAGCCAAGATGGTGAAGGAAAGAAAAGATATAAAGAGGAGGAGGAGGAAAGAGAAGACAATCAGTCCTTGACTTAATAGGCATTAGGACAATGTAAGACATCTGTTAGTTAATTTAGCATAACAGTATTGGTACTGGGAGGGACAAGCCGGCTAAGTCCTGCAGCTGCAGAACGCTACAACAGGCCTTCTTAGGAAGTGGTGCTTCGCGTTGCGATCGAGTGGAAGAAGACAGTAGGTGAGAAACACTGCTGGGCTATCTGGCTATGCAAATGTAACTCAATAAGATAAAGCCTCGTTTCCAACCATATAAAATAAATTATAGACAACTCCTGGGAAATTGGCTAATGCATTAAACAGCAACATACTTACTGGATTGCCATAGACTGTAAGCTCTCTGAGAGAAGAGATAACATCAAGCTTTTCCAGTTCTGCTATATCCTGTTTAAAAGTCAATACATTATTATTTGGCTGGATCCCAAGTCCTCAAAATCAACTAATTTTCAAGTAATTTTATGGCAGTGCTGGTGGCTTATGATTAATTCCACTAAAGTGCACCTGCATGACAGTTACTCTGCTTTGTTGAATGACAGCAGATCTGTGTTCTGTGGGTTCCAGATACACCATTAGTAAAGATGACAGTCTAACAGGAAAATGATAGTACAGCAGCACTTGTAAGGAGAACAGTACATCTTTTTTTCTCAGACGTTATGATTTATTCTAGGATTCAGGTTATATTTTGTTAATTCCTCCACTGTATTGACCAAGAAGTATGGAGAATACAGTCTAAAAAATATCAAAGGTAATACTAAAATGCAACCTTAGCAATAGAACAACATGAGATATTTAGGTCTAATTTTTTTTTTTTGTGGCCGGCTCAGCCCACCCTGGGGGCGGGGTTGGCATGGCATGTGGTGCCAGGGATTGAACCACGGTCCCTGTGCATTTGCCTAAGCTTGCCTAAGCAGGTGCTTTAGACCACTGAGCTATCTTGTTGACTCCTAATTTGATTCATTTGGAAGTGGCACTTGGTTTTTAAAAAGATTAATCTTTATGACTGAATATGATAAAAGAGGTCACTGAAAACACTCTGGGACCTAGTTGTCCATAAAGATAGTGTGCAGTTTAGTCTATAGGCAGTTCTCATGTGTGCAGTAAGCCTGATTAGAAATCACAGGCCTGTGGAAAGTATTGCATTTGGTACTCAAATTAAACAGAAGATAGCTGTGTCCGTTACTGAAATACACCTAATCAAAATATTCACTTCTTATGGATTTTTTTTTTTTTTTGTGGTACTGGGGATTGAACTCACGAACCTGTGCTTACCAAGCAGGGGTTTATGCTACTGAGCTGTTTCCCTAGCCCTTCTCATAGAAAATCCTAATATAAGAAATAGTCTATTAAATTTGAAGATAACATGATATATAGTTTTAAAGAGATATCAAACAAATCATATGTCCATAACTGCATAAAGAGGTCTTCCCATTTTTAATATTGAGTTTTTTTTTTTACATTAGTGTGTTGGGGTTATGTTTTACTGACTCACAAAAATCAAAGGGCAAAATTTTAAGAATTTTATCATGTGGTGTTTTATCATGAAATTGGTTATGGTAGAGGAAATTATACCATGGAAATTGGCAAATGCTCCGAATTAGGGCTTTGTCCCCTGGGGAGCTGGTTGTTGCATATTAATCACCAGGAAGCCAATGGTTATTATGTGCTGAGTACACTGTCAGGATAAGAACTTCGGTCAGAATAATTGTTCAGAATTGAGGCCTTAGTAATAAAATCATACTAAACTATAGCTATAGTAATAGATCAGAACTTAAGACAAGAAACACTGTTTCCTAGTGTTGTTTCAGCTTCAGACCATTATCTCAATGTTTAAAAGTAGACAAAGGATCTGGATGCAAGTGGGGAAGCCCATTAGACACCAGGATCAAATGGAAATGCAGACTTGAACTCGCCCTCATTTGTGTTTCTGTGCTTCTTAGATGCAAGATTATGGGCAACAGTTTTCCATGTCTACATTATTGGACATCACGGCTAAGTCAAGTTTAGCCGTGATGTCAACACATTAGGCAGCACGTTAAGATGTGCAGATCAGCGAGGGAGTACAGAAACCTTCTCTTGAAGTACTATTGTTTTGCTAATTTTTATGGGCTTTCCCCTCATCCTATCAGTCTTTACAGACCCAAACACTGTTATCTGATTGTCTAACTGGAAAAACTAATGTTGATACCAGCCTGCCCAAGTTGATATAAATTTGAGAAAAAAATTCTCCCTAAAAGAAAATTTGAACTAGATGGGAGTTAAGATTTTGAAGAATATATTTTCATCAGAATTCAGTAGAATTGTTGAGTTACTCTTCTCATTTTCTCCTCAAGTAAATGTATAGATACATTAAAGTACTATAACAGAATGGTTAGAATAAATATAATGGCGTAATGATCAATATAAATTTAATTAAAAATAACATTCCAAGGATAAAAATAAAGAAATGCCAAAATGCTGTAAGCAATCAAGAATATTTGCCTTATAATAATCATATAATTTCCCATGGCTTAAGGCTGTCTTTAAATTATATTTTGATAGTAAGCTTTACTAACCATTATTCTGTTAAGCAGCTGAAGAAGGTGCTGTGTCAGCTGACCTGTAATCTATTTAGTGCCCTAAGAGTAGGGCGGTGGGGAGGTGGGCTAAGGGTATTCCTGGGGGAAAGTACTGTTACTTGTTCTAATACTGTAAGTATGCTCATAACTGGATATCCCATTAAAGAGAACAGTGATACTTCCTAGCAAGAGATCCTTTGTTATAGTTTTCTGTTAGCAGATTTCCATAGTTAAAGATGGTTTAATGTAAATAAATCTGGGAGCTACAGAATTAGAAAGCATGGCTCCCTATAAAATGCCACAGAGCTCATGTGGCAAATGGAGATGTTTCATAAACACAATGTTCCTCTGCTGTCAACCAACAAATCTTAGTACTCGCAGATCTCATCGTTTTTCAAGCTCAGTGGTGTGTGTGTGATGTGTGAAGGAAGGAAATGAAAACCACCGAAGGGTCCTAGGTCCAAAATGTTTTTGAAATTATTAGTACATCGTGACACCAGGTGAGATCTCTGATGAGTGTTAAGTCTGACTTGTAAAATTTTACCAGTATTTGGAGCTGGGAATCAAACCCAGGACTTTGTACATGATAAAACATGCATTCCACCTCTGAGCTACATCCTTGGTTATTGGCCTGATTTAACAATCCTTTGCATTACCCCAGGTGCTCTTGTGAAAATACGTCCTGTAGAGCAGCAATTTTTTTCTAGTTTAGGTTTCTTCTGAATGGTTCGGAAGAATCATCTCTAGTTTGGGCTGGATTTTCGCCAATGAATGTTTGAATTGGGACAAATTAGTTGTATACTACTTTTGTTTGTACATTCCTTACTTGCTGTGTAGCAAGAGGCAGTACTCATCATTTGTTTTTAACCTTGGAAAGGGCTCTAATTGCATCCCCACGAAGGCTTCCTGAACTTTAGTGAATAGCGCCACAAAGTTAATTATCAAGTATCTGCATACTATGTCCCACACGCCCTGCTACACACTGATAGAAGTGTGGACAAGAGAGTCCCCATCCTCAGGGAGTAGTCCATCCTTCAGTCTGTCTTCAAGGCATTCTTAGAAGTCCAGCACAATGAAGTTGGTAAAAAGAAGATAACAAACAGTAGCAAAATGCAATGCAAACCATGATGCCTGTGTACAGTTATATGCCTCAACTCTCCTATCTGCACCCTGTGCCATCTAGAAGACAGGCTTAGTTTGGGGCAGTGACCCAAAAGTCACAGGCTGCAGGCTAGGTAGGTAAAACTAAGGCAAAGTCCTATGTAAGGAAAACTTAAATGGGAAGAGTAGGGAATCCCAAACCCAAGTCAAAATCCATTACTAGGAGTTGATTCAAATGCCAAGTGGACCAAGTGCATGTGTCAGACTTAGATGGCCAGGGAAATCTGGAGTTGAGATTGAGAAACAGCTTGGACCAGCAGCAGTAAAGAAACAAAAGAGACTTCTCCGAGAACTCTGATGAGTCTTGGGATATTTAGAGTTAACCTCAATTAGTGGGCAGGTACATCTATGTTTTCCTGGATTATTAGCAGTGTACAAATCAAGGAATATATGTCTTGCACTATGCATTGTATATAAATGATATTTAGCAAACTTTTCATTCGTTGTGTTTGGAAGCTTTACTATCATACCTCAGAAGGATTAAAAATTGTAAATCTCATAAATACCAAATAATGTCACCTGGATTTTATTATATCCTAGGAAGAGTTTTTCTAGCTTTGTCAAAGGCTGCAATTTGCTCAGCTCTCGCACTCTGTTTTCCTCCAGGTGAAGTGCCAATAGAGAGCTCGGCTTGGAAAAAGCACTGTCATTAAACGCTCTGATGCGGTTATGGTCCACTACCAATTCCTGAAGGACTACCAAGTTGTCCAGCCCTTCAACTTGACTGATTTCATTCCCTTAAAAAAAAGAAGAAAGGTTATCTACGACCAGAATTTTTTATCTTATTATTTTTTAAAAAGTAAAACAGTTTCCATTTTTATGTCTTAAAGTTGTTGCAACATAAACTGGTATTTCTCTAACTCCCTTTGTAGAATAACTTTATGGAGCACCAGTTCCTCCTCTTCAGTCTCCTAATACAACTGGGAAAACAGCCTGTGCTATTTCTACCCCTAGCCATCCATCTCGTTAGTCTCTGGGTCTTAATATCTAAGTTCTAATAAAACTGCCTTCCAGCCTCATCATGTTCACCGAGGCCCCTGTGGTCCAGGCTCTTATGACATCACTCAGGCTGACAGAAAATGTGTGCTTGGAAGTGAGGTAGACCTGGGTTTGCAAACACACACAAACATAGATTTGAGCCAATTATTTCATATTACTGAACCTCAGTTTCTTTCTTTGTAAAATGCCCACAACTATACTTATCCACAATACTTACCTTTTAGGGCTGCTGTAAGATTAAGTGAGATAAACGTCTTGCGCAGTGACTCCATAAAGAGCGGTTGCCCTAGACACAGTAATTGGCCTCATTCTCTACAGATGGTCACCTTACTCTCCTATGTGCTGTGCTAGCCGTGGCAGCTGCATGGCTCCCTTACACTACTAGGTGAATAGAGACCTTCCCAGGTTATGCTGTGCACTTTCAGGTGTGTCAATGCATCTTAAAAGAATCAGTCATTCTTGTAGTCAATGGTGTGTGTGTGTGTGTGTGTGCATGTGTGTGCATGTGTGCATGTGTAAAGCTGTTCCCATGTTCTTGACCCAAATCACAGTTCTATTTGACAGTCAAAATTACATTAAAAAATTTAAACATAAGGTATAGTAAAGCCTGTCTTCCAAGAAAGACATGACTACACTCAGAACACCTCTCCAGTGTCTTCCTTGTATCTTACATATGGGTTTCCCAATCTTTCTCCTATGTCATCATGTAGTTATCATTAGGATTATGTTTCTTGCATCTAAATTCCATCAGTCTTTCAAAGACTATTGGGTATTCAGGAGAACCTCTCAATTTCTCTTTTTCTGAACTCCCTCCATTACACTTAAGTCAGAACTTAATTTATGTTTTTCTCAGTACATCTCTATAGGCAGATCACTGAGTACTACTTTAATCAAGGATCTCAATTATATATAATTGCACAAATATATTACTTCCACATATTTTGTAACACTTAGCACAAATCTGAGGTTACTAAATGCTTGCAAATTACTGATTAATTGTCATTGTTTTTTTAAAGTTGAATAAAATATAAAAAATCATGATATAATTCTATATGTAGCCCTAGAATATTATATTTTCCTTCAAATATGTTTTAAAAATATTTAAATAACCAAAGAAAAATATTTGTAATTATGAAAATATCTTTGTTAATATCTGAGAAAATGGTTATCAAAACAAGACAATAACCAGGTCAGTTTTCAATGAAAAGGACTTAGACATTAACCATGATTCTACTCACCCTGTAGAAAAAGAAATTTTAAATTTCTTAGTCTATTAAGTTGCAGCTGGATTAAATTACAAATTCCATTGTAGCCCAAATGAAGAACTTCTAAACTATGCATCATTGGAGGCAAATTGTCACTGTTTGCTGCATCTCTGAAACACATAGGTTAGTGTGAGGCCCCAAGCCTAATTTCAAATGAGCTATGTCATAAAAAGATAGTTTGATACATATTTGCTACAAATTAAAAGAAAAAATTATTAATATATCAAAATTGAGCTATGATATATGACTATGTTCTGCATCATAATTTCTATTCTTGAAACATATTTTATATGCTAAGGAATAGAGAAGTACAGAAAGTCACAATGGAAAGCAATATCTGAAAAAAATAAATAAAAGCCATTTGCTTTACAACTCCATAATTGACAAATAAAAGTTTGTCAATTAAAAAAAGAAAAGTAAAGGAAAAATATATGTATGCACAAGAGTTAGAATAGATATACAGCTACTTTCTCTTAGTTCATTGAGACTAAAAGTTTGTACTAATATTGTTTATTTATTTATTATTTTTAACTAATATTGTTTAGATAAGATATCATGTCTGCATTTTGTCCTCTGAATAACTACCATGAACACAACAGTATGCAATGTATTAATTATTGTAACTGTCCTGCTAACCTGTTTTGAACTGCTATTCTTTTTTCTCATTAAAATGAATAAAAAAGCAATAATATAATCAGTTAAGATAAAGAAAAATATAATGCATCCAATTGGAAAAGAATAACTGTCTTTATTCTCAGATGTAATAATGGTTATGTTTCAGAAAATCCTAAGAAATGCACCAAAAACTACTTGAACTAATATGAATTCAGCAAAATAAAAATAATATGTTTATATATAAAAGCAAATTGAACTATTCTAAGTGAAAATTTTATACTCAGAACCCTACACCACCACTGAGAGAATTAAAAAATGAAAATAAAAAATATTTTGTGCTTATGGATTAGAAGACAAAGTTACTAAAATGACAATTCTTTTAAACTGATCAACAGGTGTGGGAGAGCTTCCTGCTACCCTGCGCCAGCGGGACCTGTCCCGTCCAAGCCCAGGCGCAGCGTGGGTGAGACCCTCTTAAACGTCCTTGGGACCACTCCCACCACTCTGCAGTCCCCCCTACTCCTGCCCAGTGAGTGAGAACTTCTACCATGTTCTCGGGACTCCCAGATCCAGCCCTAGCCCAGGCCCGTGAGTGTGTGGGAGAGCTTCCTGCTACTCTGCGCCGGCGGGACATCCAAGCCCAGGTGCAGCGTGGATGAGATCCTCTTCCACCCCCTTGGGACCCCCAACACCACTCTACAGTCCCCCCCCACTCCCACCCAGTGAGTGAGAACTTCTGCCATGTTCTCGGGACCCCTCAGATCCAGCCCTAGCCCAGGCCCCGTGAGTGGTGGGAGAGCTTCCTTGCCCTCCTACTCCACATTGTCCCCTTCAGACTCACCTCAGGCCTGGCATACAAGCCTGGGGTGAAACTCTGCAGATGGTCCCTGCACAGAAAGTAGGGGATAGAACCACCCAGTTAGTCCAGGAGCAGAACATCTTGCCAGAGGGGCACAACAGGTTCACTCCCAAGGACGGCAGCAGGAAGGAGCTGAGCACAGCAGCCAGACCCAAGCCAGGCACAGCTGGATAAATCCAAACTTTGTAGATCTGCACTTGAATTTCAGTAGGTGCTAAGGTTATAATGGCACCAAAGCTCTACAACAAAGGTCAGAAGGCAGCGCTAAACAAAATGACAACGAGAAGGAGCAAAACGCAATCTCAGACACCAAGCCCACCCATAACAAGGGCAGAGGACACTAACGCAGAACAAATCGGAATCACACAGTTGAAATCAATGAATCAACAACTTCTGAAATAAAGAAACGACTGCAGAAAGCTATAGAGGAACTCAGATTGGAAATGAAAAAAGAAATCCCTGAATTAATAGCATCTGCAGTAAAGAATCAAATGCAAAAACATATAGAGGAAACCCAATGCCCACCCAGAACAAGTGCAGAGGACACTAGCTCAGCTGAAATGTATGAATTAATAGTGTCAAAAGTAAATAAGCCACATCAGAAAGTTATAGAGGAACTCAGAGTGGAATTATTTTCTAAAATAAAAAAGAATTCTCTGAACTCATAGCATCTGAAGTAAAGAATCAAATACAGAAACATAGAGAGGAAACCCAATCTGAAAAAAACTCTGCATTAAAAAAATTAATAACTGCTTCTAAAGAAGACATTGATAAAAAAAAAATAGAGGAGATTAGAAA